TAAAAGACCCTTAAAAACTGAGAACAAACTGAGGGCTGATGGGGGGTGGGAGGGAGGGGAGGGTAGGTGATGGGTATTGAGGAGGGCACCTGTTGGGATGAGCACTGGGTGTTGTATGGAAACCAATTTGACAATAAATTTCATATATTAAAAAAAAATATATATTCCCTTTAAAAAAAAAAAAGACTTTATTTTTAAGTAATCTCTACACCAATGGAGGGCTCAAACTCACAACCCCTAAGATCAAGAGTTGCATGCCAGAAGCCCCTAAACCTTCCCTTCTTTAGGCTACATAATCGTAGTTTCATCCATCATACTTCATATGAAATGAGTCAATGTTCTTTTATTTATTTATTTTTGAGAGAGTGACAGAGACAGAGCATGAGCAGGGGAGGGGCAGAGAGAGGAAGACACAGAATCCAAAGCAGGCTCCAGGCTCTGAGCTGTCAGCACAGAGCCTGATGCAGGACTCGGACCCATGAACCATGAGATCATGACCTGAGCTGAAGTCGGATGCTTAACCGACTGAGCCACCCAGGCACCCCAAAATAAGTCTATGTTCTTTTACCGTCCTGGTCACTATAATCTGGCTTCTCAACTATGTTTCAGAACACAGAACAAATTATGACAACAACAAAAGTCTGTCAAGGTATGTCAAAACATAGAGAAAAGGATTCAAGGCTCAGATTGCTTTCTTTGGAAGAGGGAGAATTTGGATACGGTCCATTTTAAGTCTTTTTGAAACATGACTCCAGGGTGAGGCTGTTTAAAATCCTGGTTCTACTAAGCAATTTACTAACACTCCCTCTTTAGGCATGTTCAAACCAAATGGAAGGTCTGACTAGTATTAGCCCTTAAGACCCTCTGCAGGGTGACACTGAAAAATCTAAGAAATGAATTATTCATCCATATGATCAACTGTGCTATTTATCTTTCACTACTCTGAACTGTGGGTCATTATCTGCTGATCTCTTATTAGTGTTACACGCACCATCCTTGGGATTCAAATCCTCACCTCCCCCTAGTAAAGAACAGGTAGGACCAACACTTTTGGGAATTTGGTGGCCAGCTAAATCCACCATGCTTTTTATCTTAGTTTATCGTAGGTCACCACCCAAAATAGTACTCCGCACTCAGGTCATGGGGTGTGGACAGAAGGTTCTCTCATAATTACTGCAAGTCTGAGTTAACTTCCTGGTCATAGCTCCAAGTTTTACTCCTATTCACAGTATTACCTATTCCTATTGTGTTCATGCTTATAAACCTTCCTCTACATTGGATTTGTGGCCCCCCCCCGCAAACCCTCTTACCTGCATCTTATATCAAATAATTATTTATCATACTTTGTACTTCTCTCAGTACCACACAAGGAAGCTGGGATGAATACAAATGAGTATTTCCTTACCATAGGTTTGTCACTGCTCACATCAGCAATGGATCTGTTCCCTTACAAAGAAGTACTTTTAGGAGTGCCTGAGTGGCTCAGTTTTGATTAAACATCCAACTCTTGGTTTTGGTTCAGGTCATGATCTCACGATTTGTGGGTTCAAGCCCCACACCGTGCTCTGTGCTGACAGTGCAGAGCCTGCTTGCAATTCTCTCCCTCTCTCTCTGTCCCTCCCCAACCCATTCACTTTCTCTGTCTCTCTCAAAATAAATAAATAAACTTAAAACACACACACACACACACAAAGTACTTCTAGCTGCACTATGCGTCAGTAGTGCTACAAGTTTTCAATGATTAGAATTCACATTTTATTCCTCTTGCAAGATGTTTTTCTGCATAACATTGCTTAGTCTTTTTAGGGATTAAAATATACACATAGATTTCTTAGGAAAAAAAGTTTATTTTTTGATTATAGATAAAAGACTATAGCCCCTGATGACTCATTCTTAAATGTTTTATTATAAAAGTCTATTTTTCTTGCAACACTTCTTTAGGCAGTACAATCTCTAAACCCTTTGTTCTTGGCACACTACTCTTGCTATGTCCTTTCTGGTTAAACAGTAGTATGATTATTTATTACCAAGTTTTGATTAACTTACAAAATCTTTCATCTCGGTTTAATTTACCTTGATAAAATTTTGGACAAGGAAATGAGTAATTTTCAAGAACAGAATGTATTTACATGTCATTTTCCTCCAGAGAAGAGGAAAAAAGAATTTATAGGAATGAGGGTTTTTAAAGAGTGGACATTTTGGGGCGCCTGGGTGGCGCAGTCGGTTAAGCGTCCGACTTCAGCCAGGTCACGATCTCGTGGTCCGTGAGTTCGAGCCCCGCATCAGGCTCTGGGCTGATGGCTCAGAGCCTGGAGCCTGTTTCCGATTCTGTGTCTTCCTCTCTCTCTGCCCCTCCCCCGTTCATGCTCTGTCTCTCTCTGTCCCAAAAATAAAATAAACGTTGAAAAAAAAATTTTTTTTAAAAATAAAGAGTGGACATTTTATTTGGTGTTACTTCTTTTTTCTTTTAAGTTTATTTATTTTGAGAGAGAGAGTGCACACATGCATGCATGAGCAGAGGAAGGGTGGGGATAGACAGAGAATCCCAAGGAGGCTCCACACTCTCAGCACGGAACATGCAGGGCTTGAACTCACAAACCAAAAGATCATGACCCGAGCTTCAATCAAGAGTCAGATGCTTAACTGACTGAGCCAGCCAGGTGCCCTGCTGTTACTTCTAACACTTTAAAAACATGGTTAAGGGAAAGGACAAACTTTGGTGGTTAATTTTCTCATTCTACTGGACGATTTCCTTGCCACTGACACAATGAATGGCAAACACTTGATGAGTTATCCCATTTAATTCAATACCTTGTGAGGCACATATGATTGCTCCCACTCAAATGATAGAAAAAAGGTGTGAACTTGTCCAAAGTTACACAGCAAAGTGGTAGCTAGTTTCAATTCTATCTACCAGAATCAAAGCCCAAGTTCATTCTAGAACATGGGCCTCCTCTCTGTCTCTATGCACATGCTCAATGCTGGTACCTATGGATTGCTTTGGCACGAAGGGAATTTTCTATTTTCGTGCTCTGCAACCAGTTTGGTCACAGTTTAGTCACCAGCATGGCCTATCACGTGCACCTGAGAGAAGCAGGATCGATTCCTCCTGGAAGTGGCTCCACTTAATTCACTTGCTCCCCTATCACAGCTAATACCAACTTTTAAGTATGAATTCCACCCCGTTGATCAACACTACTAAGTGAAAACTCATCTAACCTAAGCTGCATAATAGCTGGCTGACACATTAAGGTCTTAATATGAACCAGTAAAATCTCAAGAGAAAGAAACCTGAATTCATGTTGGTATAATTTCGGTAAAGAGTATTTTTAGTGAAGGGCGCCTGGGTGGCTCAGTTGGATATAAGCATCCGACTTCAGCTCAGGTCATGATCTCACGGTTCGTGGGTTCAAGCCTTGTGTCGGGCTCTGTGCTGACAGCTCGGAACCTGGAGCCTGCTTCAGATTCTGTGTCTCCCTCTCTCTCTGCCCCTCCCCCACTCATGCTCTGTCTCTCAAAAAAAAAAAAAAAAAAACCACAAAGTGCTTTTACTGAATAAAAGCTTACCTTAAAGGATGTTAAATATGCAGAATGTTTTAAGAAATATAAACCTGCCCGTGTATCATAAATGATAATAGTTTTGAAGGCTTGGGGTTCTCTTCACTAATGTGTTCTTTTTAACAGAAGTTTTAATATTCTACTAGATGGATGTGCTATGATTTAAATAGTCCCCTTTGTGATGGACATGCAGGTTCCTTTCCATTTTTGCTTCTATAAACAAAGCAGCAGCAAAAACCTTTGTTCACCCATCTGACACCTGTCTGAGTCTACCAGTAGGATAAATTCCTCACAGAAGGCGCTGCATTCTCTATAGTGTTTGTCTACCAGCTGATGGCGCTACAGAGCCGGGATACAAAGAAATCAGTGTGTGGATAGCGTTTAGTCACTGCTTTCCTGTTAAGAATTGGCAGCAAATGAGTCAATTATTTCCTAAAACAATTTGTTTTGGTTTGGTTTCACAAGGACCTATCCACTGGGAGAGAACAGAGAATAATCCTTGTAACCATATCCCTAGGTCACCCTGTATCTGACTAGTCAGTGCTCTCTAGCAGCAGAGAGCAAAGTGGCTGATCCCACCCAACCTCTTCATATGGTCTCTGTGAAGGGTAGGGGTTCAGATACTCCCAGTTACCAGGCTATCTTCCAATTCTGTAAAAGCAAAATAGCCCATCAGAGGTAGCATGTTTCCAAGAGACGGAGGGAGGTCCCCCCTCTCACCTCCCTGAACCACACTGGTTGGAGTCTCTGGGTTCCTTTGAATATGGAACCACCTGGAACACAGAAGCACCAACTAAGGAAAAGATCTTGGCAGGGTGGGTCACACAGGGTCATAAACGTTTTTATCAATTCTCCTCCCCTTCAAGAAACCAAATGCCCAATAGCTGATGTTTACTTCCTTCCAATTAGTTTATTACTTTGTCTAGGAGGAAATTTCTACACATCATTATGAGTACAAATTTTATAGATTTTAGATTAACCAAACAAATAAAATGATGAATACATAAAAACTATAAAGAATTGATCACAGGGGTGCCCAGGTGGCTCAGTCAGTTAAGCATCTGACTCTTGATTTCAGCTGAGGTCATGATCTCACAGTTCATGAGTCCAAGCCCCAAGTCCACCTCCA